TTTTTTTTTTTTTTTTTTTTTTTTAATTAGCCTATGCAGCACAGTGAATTTCTCAGATTTTATCTTATTAAGAAAAACATGAAATTCCCATACTTTAACGTAGCATATCTTCTTGAGAATCCACTGTTGACGTTACGACTATGAGTTTTGAACCTACCAGTATAAGCGTCGTGTGCGCTGAAGTTAATGAAATTTTGTAATGTGTGCTAAAATTTTAATTAAATGTCAAAAATGAATGCAGGTACTTTTCAGTCAAATTTCATTGTTTTGAACCTTTTCGTATCCTTTCTCGTTTTGGTGCCGCCCCTTGTCAAGTTTCTCAAATCATTAATATTGTGCATGAACGTTACGTCTGTTCTAGAGACTACGAGAGCAGCAATATCCTAGACAATCTGCTCTCCCGTATGGAGCAGTACGCGAATAACTTGGAGACCCTCGTCGAGGAGCGTACTGCTGATTACCTGGAGGAGAAGCGCAAGTGCGAGGAGTTACTTTACCAACTGTTACCGAAGTACGTAGCTAGTTTAGAGTTAAACGACACGTTAAGGTTCACAGAGACTTATCCTGTTACGTGATCCCGTTATATTTCTTGTACAACATTAAATCTGCATTTTGGATGGTCTGTTTGTATTTGGAGGAATGAATTTCCGGTTTTCTATCTGGCGGTATAAAATGGGTTGAAAATATATTAGACTTTCGCTATCAACGTTGCTATGGATTTTTCAAATATAAAATATGGATTGATTTTAATTTCGAAACCGAGGCTTAAGATTTTCAAAGGCAGTCGATAAAATAATAAGGTGTGTGAAAAAGTAATTCGGGGAAAAAATTTCGAAAGGAAGTATTTTGCGAAAAATTTTTTTTTTTTTTCTTATTTCTAAGGAAACGTCTACCTCAGCGAATCTCTATGGTCCCTATTATTATTTTCGTGAAAGCTTCCTCGATTTTTTTGGTGAATTTATTTTTCGGGGTAAAATTTCCTCTGGAGCAAGTCACGTTAATTTATTATTAAAGAAAAATGAATTAATTTAACGTGTCCTGAATAACGTTTCCTGTATATTTTTTTCACCCGGAAATTCATTCGAATCGGAGTTTTTGGCAGTGACGTATTTTCGGGGCAAATAGGTAAATTATTACTCGCTATATAAATCACGTCAAAACAAATAAATCACGTTCGAGTAATATATACGCAACATTGGCTGTACGCGTGTTGGAAAATCAATCAACGAGTGGTGCCATCTGCCGTGTTCTTAAATTTGTATCGAAAAAGCTACGCTCTGAAAGCTTTAAAGCGAATTGCTGGTATTAAGGTACTAAGAGATATTTAAAGAAATATCAGCAAGAATAAAGTCTTAAAATAAAATAGCCGTGATAGCTAATGGCATTAGTGCAGATCCGCGAACGAGGATCCTGAATAAAACATATATTGGCCAAAGTACCTCCCACTTAGGTCTCCCGATGAGAAAATCCCTCGGGATAATTCGGAAGCATTCGGCAAACTTCGGTAAAGGACGTTTCGCCTAAAATCCATTAGAACACAAAATATCCTATGGTCCCTATTTTTATTTTTATTTATTTTACCAGCCTGACGCTTTCGAAACTTTCCTCTCTTTTTTTCCCCTTATCTCGTCCTCCGTCATTTTTTTATTTAGCTTCTCAACGCTATTTACATTTTCTCTCCCGAAGACTTTCGATCGAATGATTTACTTCCACAATTATTCTCGCCTTAAACACTCGTCCGGGTCCTCATCGTCCATTATCCCAGCAACGCCCATTCTCTCGTGCAAAAGTACTTTTTCCTTCCCCAATTGTAAGTTAATTGCCCCGAGTCACGCGCCCTCGTCCTTACGCAATTCCGTGAGATTAACCGAGTTGCTAGGTCGATTTATTCTTTCGAAACGACAACAGAAAGACCATCCATTTCCGAGTGTAAAAATCCACCTTAATTGTCGTTGACGGTAACATTTTATTTTTATTAGGCACTTTTCCCCCCTATATAATAGGCGAACCCAGAGCGGCGGTCGCCGCTTGGATAGGGAAAATTTTTATCGTTTGTTTTTTTATTTTTTTTTTTAATTTTTATCTTTTTGTCATAGTACTTTTATCATGGGAGTCGATTTTGTATTTTTTAATTGTTTTTCTTTTTTTTTTTTTCCTTGCAGATCCGTCGCTTTGCAACTGATTCTTGGACAGAGCGTCATCGCCGAGACTTACGACCAGGTGACGATTTACTTCAGCGACATCGTTGGATTTACCAGTTTATCAGCAGAAAGCACTCCGCTGCAAGTGGTCGATCTGCTGAACGATCTTTACACGTGCTTCGACTCCATTATCGAGAACTTCGACGTCTACAAGGTGGGCTCGTTGATCGGGGTCCCTTGATTGTGATTCTGATTGCTTTTCGAAGGCAGTTTGTAAACATTTTAGCGTCGCCTGACCAAATGCTTAGTGAACGCGTCAGGATCAATTGTTCGGTATGGAAGTAGGGAGTGGGCGATTTTGGGCACTTCCGCTTTCGTATGGTCAGGAGCAACGAGGTACGATGGTACATACCCCGATTTGTGATTTTGAAAAAAGCTACGTTCCTGGAATGAGGGGAATTAAAAGGAACAGAAAGGAGAGGAAAAAAGTCCATCGGTGAAATTGCATTTTTCCCTCTTTCCTCGGGGCGGCTTTGTACCTCGGGGATTTGGTAAGAGGAAATCGCTTTCGAAGGAAAATCTGATTTGGGATTTTTTTTTTCCTTGTAAAAATTTTCGATTTAGCTTTCACCTTTTTATATCAGCCGATACTTCTGAAAGGATATTTTTCGTTTTTGGGAATATTTCGTGCGTATGATATTAATATGAATTTAGAGGGATTCTCATGAAGATTATATTTTTGGTAAAACTTTTTTTGTCATTTTATTAACTCTCGATGACCCAGATTCGATTTTAATGAAAATTACAAATTCGTACGTGGAATCTATTACGCTATAAAAACGACTTGTTATATTCGTATTTAGACTGGGTTCGTATTTAGTCAATGTGAAAATTTTGATACGAGATATAGAAAATATGCATTTCCCTGAAACGACCAGCATGTCACTTGTAAAGCAGTAATCCATCTAATTGAAAGCAGCAGGATCGATTTAATAAGTGTCACCGCGGAATTCAATCACTGTCCTATTAATTAGTCAGTGGAATAGCCTATCAAATCAAAGATCGATCCAATCCTTTTCCTATAGGCAACAGTCGATACCTTCTCTAAGTACACGATTGAATTTACCCTACACAGCGAACTCAGTACGCAGTGTAATTAACAGACAGACATAAACAGACCCCTCGACTGTCTCGAAAAGCAGAAAATTAAAAGAAATAAATTTTTCGTAAATTTCGCATAATATTTTCACAGACCCGGTTGGTCATGGCGAATAAAAAAAGTATATTACAAAAAAAAAATTGAACACAAAAGAGGGGATGCCCGTCGGCCAAAAAAAAAAATCACAAGAAGAATCCAATCGATCCAAGGTAGAATTCAGTGTAACAGGCGTCCGAAGTTCCAATAATGCTTTTAGCGTGGCACAGCAGTCTTGAAATCGCAAACTGCAAAAAATTCTTGAAAAAATGCGTCACGCGAGTAAAAAGTTGTATGGAAGTTACGTGGGCAACTAGGCGAATTCACGGGAGCGAGCTACGGGTGAAATCGGCAAAGGAGAAGATCAAAAATGAAAAAAATAATATTCAAAGAAAGAATCGGTAATCAGTATAGTAGTACGAGGGTGTAGCTTGTCGTACTAGGAAAGTAGAGAATGCAAAGGAAGTTGCGGGACAAAGGAAAAATAAAAAAAAAACAAAGATAGAAAAAAATAATATAAGGGATCCCGAGCTTTCACCTTTCATCTCTCACCTTTATCAACGTCGTTTTTATTCCCTTTTATTGAATTCCCGCTGTCGCCATTCATACAGCATCACGAACGCCAGATGGACCCTTTCGGGTATTCTTACGAAAAGCATACTCGATTCTTCGAAATAATTGCCCACGTCTAATCGCTGACTTTGCTCGAATTTATTTTTTATTTTCTTCTCGCTCCCACTTGCTTCTCTCAGGCTCCTTATTAGTCAAGGGCAAGCCTGAGGATTTCTTTTGATCTCGTACAAGTCTATAGGTTCCCCTTAACCCACCCTTGTCGCAGTCTCCGTTTTCGATTTCTTTGAAAAATTTTCAATGCCTATATTTATTACGTAACGGCGCAACTGGTATACCTCAATAAATTACATCAATTTCACAGACCTTCAATTTTATGCTGTTATTATCCGCCCTACCGTGGATGGCATATTGATTGCTACGATTCGTTAGACAAATGGGGTTTAGATAGGGTACCAAATTTATGGAAAATTCTCTCATTTTCACTTTTTCGAAATTTCATATACGGTTTTTTTTTTCTTCGTTCGGTCAATTTGTACTTTATATATTTATGGATCACATGGTGTCGGGGAAAGAAGAGGAGGGGTTTCCGGAACTTGATTCGATTATTATTTTAAACTTGGATAAAATCTCATTGAAACTTTACTACGTGTCCATTAGAGTCTGAAATCTTGGTGGTTGCGTTGCTTCGAGTAAATCAGCGGATTAAGAAGTCGATTAAGGAATTGGATGAAAGTGACTTTGAAAACTTTCCCTCCTACCTTGACCGGGTTCTTGTAATACTGTAAAGGTTAGTTAAGACGCTCGTATTAAATTCCAGTCAATTTGTATCCAATGTTTTAATCACTGTATTATAATGCAATTTCTGGAACGTCAAGTATAATACTAAGGTATGGAAAGCTATTTAAAAACATAGGATAATACTATATTAAGTCAGAATAAGAATTTAATTGAAACGAAGCCGAGTATAGGTTTTTAAGAAAGTTTATATAAAAATTGTACTTAAACGTCAGTGCCAACGTTTCACTGTTATTGTAAATTAGTTGAGACGATTTTCTTTTAATTAATTAAACCCCCTGATGTAATTAGCTTGCTATTCATTATTGCCCGAAATATACTTGACTCATATAGAAAAGCATTGAAAATTAATATTTTTCTCAAATGAGATACTTTGCGAAATCTCGACTTTCTGAATAAATCAAGTTATTCGAGACGGGTTGGGCCTTAATTAAGAGAGCGAATTAGGCAGGAAATGTAAATAACAAGTGAAACTTGACGGAAAGTATCGTTTTGATGGATAATTGAAAAGACTTTAAATTTTGGTGCTTAATGATATTTCCATCGGTGGGATGTATAAAGATATGAATGAATAACTTTGTAAATACGTGAGTAAATCAGATGCGATTAAAATCGAGGATCCCCGCGAAATTGTGGCCTGAATAAGAATCACGTATTTGTCGAAGCATATTTTATCATGGAATTCAAACATAATGGCGCGTGCTTGCCTGTCGTTCACTTATCGCTCGTATATCTCGAAATGAGAAGCTCATTGTTATTTATATCAGGATTTTCACAGCTGTCACGCGCATACGGAACACGGCGCTATTTTATCGTGAGTTGAATTAGCTTACGGTAATACATGATAATAAAGGTCCTATCCCGTGCATAACATGAATTTAAAGTATACAATGATAATAGTCTACCGAAATATAATATAAGAAAAAGTTACTGGATACGAGGTATTAAAGCAATTAAGTATAATATCCATATGAAACCACTGGAAAAATATATGAAAATAAAAAAAAAATACTAAAAATAATAAGAAAAGGAAAAATTTGCTGATAAAGTATTTTGAAATTCGTTCACGCAAACGTATATTGATTCAAAGCAAAGAGAAAACATGTCAGGCACTACCAGGCACCCTAGTCGAAATATATTTTATTCAGAAATGTCGAAAATATTAACCATGTTATGGAATTTATTTCCATTATTAAATCTTCGACTGTTTTTTTTTTTTTTCTATCATCACGTTCTGTTATGTCAATATTAATTTTATACTGTGAGGTACGATTGGATTTTAATGTAAAAACTTTTTTTCTTCTTCAGGTCGAAACGATAGGCGATGCTTACATGGTGGTTTCTGGACTACCCGTTAGAAATGGAATGAATCACGCCAGAGAAATTGCTCGAATGAGTTTGGCCCTTAGGGACACCGTGATGACCTTTCGCATCCGTCATCGACCCAATGAACAATTGAAATTACGTATAGGGATGCACAGCGGTGGGTATTCACTGTGACACTAAATAATTTTGAGAAAATTCTTTATTGGAATTTCTATTGATTTAATTAAAGGCATATACGAAAAAGCTGTCACAGAACCGAATTTCAGGATTCTGCGTTTGGTTGGTTAATGATTTTTTATTTATATTGATTTTAATATACAAAATTTCAATATAAATGGGAGACAACTCGAAAATAGCTCTTTGAACTCTGAACTCTTTGTATGTCCTTTGCTACCCAGGAGTATTGATCTCATTTCAATCGCTCAAGCATTCTAAACGAACAGCATCCGATTAATTATATTTCTTTTTTCTAGGACCATGTGTAGCTGGCGTTGTCGGCCTCAAAATGCCACGCTATTGTCTCTTTGGAGACACTGTGAACACGGCATCAAGAATGGAGAGTAATGGCCAAGGTAGTTTTTCAAAATTCTTTTCAACCGTTCAAACCCATTTCAATCAACGTCGACAGAGTAAATGTCGTATCTATGGTCAATGGTTGATCATTGAACAAAAATAAAGGTCATGGAGACCAAATTGAATTCGACTCTGATGAAACAAAAATAAGCTGGGTGAAAAGGAAAAACGTGAATGGGTCATCCCATACTGTCAAAATAAATATTAGTACGTCACGCTGCTGGGAAAATAGACAGCTGGAAGATTTTCATCTGCATACATAGGGTGCCGCCTTTATCTGCGTCATGACCAAATGACCTATTATATGGCAGGAGGATATAATTATTGTCCTGGAACTTTATACAAAGACGATATACCTTACTAATAGATGTATTACTATGAGATGAAAAGGTTATTAAGCAATCAAGCCGCTTAGGTATGAACCCATAGGTCATACTAATTGTGTGTACATTTTAAAGAATTCAAAAATTCTCTATTTCATTCGTTAGCCTTTACCTTCTACAAGCAACAGTCTGTACTTACAATAGTTCACGTATACGTTTTACAATCGAGGCTGTCGATTTTTTCAAACGATATTTTTCTCTTGTCAAAGTCTCATGGACCGTGAACGGTCACTGGGCGTATTGGTTGGTTGTTGGGATGAAAGGGATTTTTTTTAATACTTCACTCTTTGCCGTCTCGAGATCAAACGATTACAAGGACTTTGCCATTATGAGATTGTACACAGTTAATTGAACGGCAAAGAGGCTGTGGCTATAGATATATGACTTTTCAATTTTTAATATGTGCCAGCGTTTTACTTGACGCTGTCACGTCTCAAGTATGTTTTTCTTGAGTGGAATTGACTCTATTTTCTTTTTTTTTTTTTTGTAAATTTGTCAATGAAATTCTCAAATTCGGATAATTAGTTATCGTAGTAAATTGTCACTTATAATTAAAAAAAAATATGAGTATACATTTCGATTTATCAGCGAGTCCTTTGGCAATGCATTATTTATATGATATTAATGACATATTTTCACGGTTTTTTTTTTCTTTCTTTCTCGGTAAAAAGCTCTCAAGATACACGTCAGTCCGAAAACGAAGGAGATTCTGGACACGTTCGGAACATTCGATTTAGTCTGCAGAGGCGAAGTAACGATGAAGGTAAGGATGCGTTCACGTGGAATCTACTGCGAGGAGATCATCTCTTACCACGTCATTATCATTCATCTTGATACGCCTCGCACTTGGGTTATCAGATTATTTTCTTAAATTTGTTAAAGTAGATTTTTCTAATAAATACGTCACATTTAAAACAATTTATAAATAGACTCATGATATTCTTCTGTATTAGTAATTATTCTAAGTATATACATATGTATATAAGCTGCTCTGGGCTATATATTGATTATCATGACGAACTAGAAATTTCATTGAATTTCATAGAAATAAATTTCGTTTCAAGTTTCTATTGACTCCTTAAGGCAGCAGTTGATAAATCGATGAGGTTTGGCTCACCAATCAATAGCAGATTTTTTATAATAGCCAATTATATTTGGATTCCAGAATTGTCTTGTGAATACAGAAGAAAAAAAATGAATGATTATTATACGAAGGGTGAAGTGGAGACTATCGCGCGATTGACTATTTTGACGTTGTGATCGATTACCAGAGTGAACTTTCGAATTAAATGAAAAGGTATAAGACGTTCATTGTGATTCGAGAATAATTAAAAGTTTCTGCGAAGAAAGGCACTTAGTAATTTTAGATTGGTTTGCAGGAACGTGTTTATTTTTTCTACACCGTATTATCGTATGTACTTTTGTATAGCAAGGATTGTTTGAATAATTTAATTGAAACTTTTTAATCAATATTTGTCTCCATACAACTGTCTGATGGATATCGCACGTGTTTTTTTTTTTCAAACGTCATAACAACTGTGTCACCATACTCCATTTTGACATTTATAAATTTCCATGAAGTTCCATTTTGATTCAATTACTCTGCGTTCAATCAATTTCACGCCTGTTTCATTCTGATAAAGCCCACAATCTAGTGTTTTACGTATAAGGTCTATATTTAGAATTAGTTATCAGTATCATGTAGCATTGCTTGATTATAAATTATAATCATAACATGTCGTTCAGTCGTACAACACGTGGATTAAAAACAACTGCTCGTTTATAGTTGTTGTATGCATTGTCGAGTCATAGAGATTCAATCCAATTTTTGTTACTGAACAATTACAGTTATCATTTATTAAATAAATATTGTATTTCCAGGGTAAAGGAGCAATGACAACGTACTGGCTGCAAGGTGAGAAACCAACCAACAACAATGTACAACAAGTTCGTGCAACACCAACAATAAATCAGACCCCAGTGATATCAAGTCAGCGCTCAAGTCCAGTTCAGAGCCAAAATCAAGTTCAACCACAGAATCAAGTTCAGCATCAAATCTTGTGTCAGCAGCAAGGTCAGAATCAGGTTCAGCAACAAGGTCAGAATCAGCAGCAAGGTCAGCAGCACTGTGCACGAAGTGCCTTGACCATAACCGGAAACGGCGCACCAGTAGGTCATCCGATATCGACTTCGGTTTCACCCTCGCATAGAATAGCGATGGGAGGCGGTTCAATGAACACCGTCGTTCATCAGGTTCATCATCAGGCCCATCAGATTCATCAATCCTCGACGGAACTACCGCTCGAAAATGTACCTAATCATACCGAAAGTGGGCCGAACGCGCCACTCCTACTTCCGGCGGGTAATGTTCCGCGCGTTTAGCTCTCTCCGAGTGATAACTAGCTCTCTGTTGAACGTGAAGGTAAATGCGAGAAAGAAAGTCCCAATTTATCTCCGCACACCATTTCACATTGTATAGGACCCCGAGGTGCTGCCATCTAGCGTAGACACGGCGAAACTTATCAGAGCGGAGATAACGGCCATGCACGAATATGCGAACGTTCAAGGAGTTCATTCCACAAGATTGTATTGTTCTAACGATTATAAGCGATTGTGGCGGTGAACGTCTTGGACATGAGAATATGATCTCTTTGTACAAGGTATTACGGAACCAATGTTACCGCTAATTAAGTGACCAATCGACCCCTTATCGACGGATCTTCCGGAAACGAGCCGAAAGATATAGGAAGTAGCGAGGCACACGTGACTGCTGATAAATTTTATCAAAAAACGAGAGCATAAATGATCAAATATTCTTTGATACTTCAGTTTTTATTTTTTTATATAACAAATCTAATTTCCTTGAGGAAATATGCTTTTATGCACGTGCGTTACAATTTTCCATAAAATTCTATCGATTGTAAGGGTAGCTTTTTTTTAATTAAATATTTGTTCAAAGTCAAAACTCATAATGGGAACAACTAAGAAGCTTTAAGCTACTTTAATCACCGATGCTTTGTCGGGGGCACTCTTAATACAAATTTTTCACCGTTTACCCGGGCAGTAACGGGAATTCCCACGCGAGATAAGTTTGCCGAATTAGGCTTGACGACTGTAATACATAGAATTTTACTCGCCATTTTACAACATAGCATTTGCTGGGATTAGTGAAATTTTCGGAATTGCTTTCGACCCGGAATTCAACAATTCCCCCAGGGCAATTATTGTCAGTGTCTACAACTACCCGCAAGAATGAACTTTAGGAAATAATTCTGACTTGTAAATTACCACAAAGTGATTATTACAGACCGAGGATGTCGTTTGGATGAAATTAAATTTTAGAAAAACAAAAATTTTAAGAATTATTAAAAGTAATTACGATACACTTCGACCTGGCACAATTGACTAATTGGGCCAATAATCACTGCAAGATCAAAGAAAAATAACCTCCTTGTTACAGCAGTGTGTGTCTCGTAAAAAAAAAAAAAGTATTGGCTATCAGTACTTGGAGGAGAGTACTTACGCATATGTGGCTCATGCATAGAGTAAAACGTGTATGACGATTGACGAAAGGAAGAGGCCATGGCACAGTATTAAATTTCGCGTTCGTTTCCTCCCTTAGAATTATTTATTTCGTTACCAACAAGCCATTTCTTCTATTCTTTATTCTTCAGACCTTTTCAACCCTTATATTATCTACACTTTTAACCTGCAACCTGCGTTCCTCCTTGCGGCAGTTTTTCTTACCGTGCGAGAAACCTTTAGGTGCGCCACCTATGACTGTACAGTCGTTACAGTTACATATGACATTACTAGCTTTAAGAGCTTCGAAGGACTTGTTCCATTTTTTTTTTTGAAACTTTTTTTTCACTCTGAAATATTACAAGGTCCTTCGTATGCATGTCTTCAGGATATATATCGTACCTGCGCGTGCGTTTCCTTACGCGACTCGTTGAAGGTATGCAAGGGTAGTATAAGTAGTATATGTATATTAAACATATGATTATAAATATATATATATTGTATATGTACAGAGCGACTCTATTAAGAATTCACGGATTACGCCCTTACAAGCGGCGCTCATACTGGACATTTGGATTATTCAATTATTAGAACTTGATTCAAGAGAAATGTTTATTCCATTAGATAGTACGAAAGATGAGACATTTTATAAGAAGTATATTTTTTTTATATATTATATAAATAACACTGACTCATAGAAACCCCATGTTTGTTTTGTATGTATTTAGTTTGACTACGTATCTTCTTAATGATCAAACAATTGTTTATTCCTTGACGGATGTCGTACGATGAGAAATTGTTTATCCGAGTGTTCCATAAAACTTGAACCAGGCCTTTGGTGCTTCGATCGGTTCATCCCGTAGATATATGTATGTAAATCTAAGAAATTATAATAGATATATATATACATATACTTATACGTATACAATTTAGAGATAATGGAGTTAGTACAGAATTGATGTGTAGAATTTTAGGCAATTATGCGCGGAGGCTGGGCCTTCTCAAACGGGTGTCTGCGCGAGTGCGTGTTTGTGATAATTTGATTGAATTATACGTGGAGCCAGAGGTTCACGTGTGGAGTGAAAAAGAATTTGAAAAGAAAAACGTAGGGCGTAAACGAAAGTGGTTTTTTTTTCTTCAGAAAAGGTCGACGGTGCACCGTTAATTAATAAACTTCTATTTATGTCGGACTCTTTTAAGGATGTATCAATCGATATTGAGAAAATAAAGTTCAATCGTTTTCAAAAAAAAAAAAAAAAAACCCAAAAATAGTTAACTGACGTTGCTGTTATACAAAGTATTATTTATTTGTTGTACAATCAATACGGGTTTGCTTATCCTAATTTAAGTTTATGCAATTGCTTTGTTTCGTTTTTTGTTATCATACTTTTTTAAAAGATGGCATTGTCAAATATCCAGTCTAAGTAATGATTGACACGTGTGTAAACTCCAGGATGACCCGGTTCACCGCAACGAATTCCCCAGGACACAATTCCAATGTTCACCCATCTGCCATTTCCTAGTTGATGAAGTAAAGGACCCCCTGAGTCACCCTGGAAGATTTGAAATTCATGTACTCTGCTGGCGATGATTCTGGTACTCGTTGTTTAGTTAAATATTATATTGTTGTTGTTTTAATTTTAATACAATTTTTTTTTTTTCACCTGACAAGAATCTCGACCGCCTTCGTACGCTCCTGCACACATTGCTGTTTCCGGTATCCTTTGAGTGAAGGTGCGTGCGCACTTGTGCTGAGGCCAAACAGGAACTGCAACTTCCATCAACACTGCACTAGCTGGACCACCATAGTACTGAGTGCCCCATCCTGTAATCGGTAACTTTGTATTGTATACAATATTTTGTTTAAAACAATTGCAAGTACAACTACTTTTTTTGTTGTAGCACACCTGTAACAATGGCGCTTTTGTTCTCGAAGGAGAGTCCCGTGGGTGGTAAACAAATTGGCCAAATGTAACTATTGAAGATGGTAGGTCTATGAATTTTCAAGATGGCTATATCGTGCTCGTAGGTGAATGGATTGAAATCCAGATGCTGTCTTATCTCAGTAACCCGGAAGTCCAACGAACGAGTCTCTTCCGGTACTGAAAAATCGTACTCTCCAAGTCTCACTATGATTTCACGTGCTTTATAACTGAAAAGGAATATATTAATATTTAATATATCATTGGTACGTATTTTTAAGAGAACTATAGAGGATATATTTCTGTTAAAGATTAATAATTTTTTTTAACAACTTCAAAAACATCCAACTGACCGATATACGCAGTGGGCAGCAGTAAGTACGTGCCTATCAGTGATAAGGACGCCTCCGCAATAGTGACTGGCATCCTTTCGTAGAAGAGCTACCATCCAAGGCCATTCTTTGGGATCGGCAGGTCTTCCCCCAACGATTCTTGTTCTAGATTTGGTGCTGACGCCACATCCTCTAGGACTCCGAGGCTTCCTGTTTATCTCCGCACCAGTGTCCCGAGTATCATTTACTCCAGTAGAAGAAGTTTCGTCCTCTGCAGTACCCCATATTGGTTTTCCATCATCGTTACCTTAAAATTTATATTTTCATATCTTACGTATAAAATCATCATGTACATGCTGCTTTCCTATGATCGCTTATCAAATATTTGACTTACTTGCCACAGCCGGCAAAACCCCAGCAAGACTTTCCGCTCCTAAGGAATTGACCTCCAGAACTTCAGTCTGATCAGGACAACATACTCCCACGTACCTAAGCATCAATGTAATTGTTGGTTGAAGTTTTGCAAAAAATTATTTAAAATAACAGCTGATTATTGAATCTAATTATAGAATACAATGCTTATCGAGAATATAGTTCATCGATAAGATACACTAATTTATTTATATGACAATCGAATTTCATTTGTTACTGAATTCAAAGTCAATTTAACATACACGGATTGTACTTTAAATCATTATAAGTCGATTATAATGCTCTATAAGCCTAGGGAGCTAAGCATCGCAAATAGGAAAGCTTAATTAAAATTAAAGTCCTGATATTAGCATTCAATTATTAATTCAGAGGATTGAAATTGATTTTGGTACCATTTATAAGATTCTTAAGAGGTACTTAGCTTACGTGCGCTCTATTATACACATGTAGTCCATAAATCGTGCGAAATTCGATCTGAAATCCTCCAGGACACATTTGCTCAGGTGCCTGCAGTGTCCTTTTTTCTCGTCGGGTGTCAAACAAGCCTGATACGCCTTGTTTGGCTGCAAACAAATAAATTCATCAAGCACAACAATCGCCATAGCAAATAATTACTACACATAATTATGATTAAGTCATAAAAAAATCTTCATTAACAGAAAGATCATCGAATACAACATCAATACAATATCCTACCTGCTCGTTCACTCCAAGATTAATAAATCTTTTTCCACGAAACTTGACATTTTCCAAGTCCTGCAGATGCTTTCCCCATTCCAAACTTGACAATCCTGCGGGATCTGAAAGCACACAGATTATACATACAGTGTTATTCAGTAGAAACGCCATCACCTAAAGTTAACGAGCCTATTTGAGTCCTACGGTAAAACCATATTCAGGTGGTGCGTTTGAGCTGAATAACCCGGTATATATATTACAAACTTACGTATCATTGAAATATATATTTTTCGTGAACCGTAATTTGACAAGTGGCGTGGCTGATACGAAGTTCAAGGATGGATTTATCTTGGGACACGAGGATTACTGCTTCCTCGAGTTGAGGATATCCACTTGAAATTTTAACGAGGTCAGAGCTACAGGTCGTTTCAGTATTAACAACACAATGCTCGAAGTCTTCTTCGATCAATTGACGAACCATTAACATATCATGATGAAACTTTCTCCAGACGCGCCACACTGCGGGATCATCGATTTCCACGCGTACAGTAGTGCAATCCTTCAAGCAGAACATTCTACTTCATCGCGAGTGAAAACCGCTTTAAATAAAAATTTTTTAAGAAAAAAAAAAAGCGCAACGCCTCGGTACTCCTATGCATGATTTTGCGTTACGATGTTGCGCTGAACGAAAGATGTTACGTTAAAAAACTTTTGATGTATTGAAAAATATAATTAACAAATACAATATTGTTTTTGTACACATACAATATTTTATTGTTACAAATAAGCATTAAAAAGTTTCACTATTAGCATCGTGCGAGAGCACGAACATTTTGTAACTATTGTTCTTGATTGTAATTAATTTATTGTAAAAAATAGAATCGATGTTACGTGACATTGCACAGGGATAATAAATTACGAAAGGTAAGCTTACATTTTGTTTATATGTCATTACCTTTTGTATTGTTACTATTGGACAAACGAATAAATTAAATGACTTACTTATAACATCTTTGGCTGCAGTATCACGAACAACAATTTGTAGAATGTAATACAGTGCAACGGCGCCGAGTATTTTTTTTATTGTCCACATTATCTATCAACACTTAAAGATGTACGGATGATAAAAGTGATAAAGATGCACTGCAACGATCCTCAGCGGCTACTTAGGAGCTGCAGTCGCGCCCACAAGGAACGAACAGAGCAAGAATTATATGAAATCTTGTGTTTATACATATGACTCCTGTAGCACAAGCAACCGGCTATACAGGCAATATAATAAAGTATAAGTTGACCAGGCGAAAAACTCGAATCTTCCTTCAAGTTATTTTCTCCTTTAACACATCTTTCATATTTTTCTTTACCAACTATTCAGGTTGTATACAAGTTGTTTCACTACCGATTCTTGTATCGACTATATATACATATATACCACCATTGTTTTGCGTAATACGTGTAATATAGATACAAATAGACTGATCATAACTCAGATTGTAAGTTTATCCTACTTGCATAAACTAAGTTTGCGTACGCTAATGATATTAACCCCTCAAAAGTGAATTAATTGTTGTTTCCGAACTTGTACAAGTGTCTTGAGCATTGTTTGCGTATTCATTTGTAAATATGTACTCGGATAATTTCTGATACTCCGTATAAATACCCTGCAGAGATACAATCCCCTATACTCAACTGTAAAGCGGGTAGCGACTGTGCAGGCGAAATGAAGCTTGTATTAGCTGTTTGTGTCCGTCAATCGCGGCACCAGCCTTTCGCGTGAATACCTATTGTAAACATTGTAATTTTCTTTGATACAAATGCCAAGTTCAATACGACGTCAAACAAGTGCTTCTGCGAAGAGTGATATACAATGGGCTGATTGTTTGACGCTTTAATAACCACTTTGTACCTTTCACCGTGTCGACGTGACAAGCTTAGTCGCTCAATGAGGAATTTCGTAATTGTCACTGCAGCTCCACTGTAATTTGCGTATAATTATCGGTCCCTTGGGAACAATTCAATCCGCTGCAGTCGCTACTATGCTACTATGCAACTGCATGTCCCAATTTGATATCAGAGCCCAGAGAATGCATTGATCATTGCTCTCATTAATGCTGTTGCCAATAGATAATATAGATGATGCCAGGAGGAAAAAGTGGATTTCGGATATTAATTTCAGTTTCCTTTTTTTTCTTTCCAGTCGTTCAAATGGTTACTGCTTTTTGATTGGTCCAGTCGAAATAAATAATAAACTTTAAGGGAGGGGGCAGGGAGAGGTGAGCAGTTATCCAAAGTTTGTTATTATACAATTTGTGAATTAGTTAACTGGAAAAACAGAATAGCCTTTGTGAACAGAAACGCAACATTGCGAGAGCCTACCTTGTATTTACCTTGTGTCCATAAGGGAATGGTGTATCGGTTAATAATAAATTATTAGGCATCTATTCTGTCAATAGTTTTGTTGGGATCGACGTGATCCCGCTTGCCCCCGCGATCCATACGGCCAGCGACAGTTTATTTACAGCTGGTATAGTAGGTATCTGGTTACCGACGGAAACCACAGGCAAGTACAGCTGTGGTTTATTTGGACACAATGAGTTGGTCGCAATTGTTTCGTTTAACAGCTGAATTTACGAATCAGCAGCTACGGTACGTTTGCTCTTGTTCAAATGAACGACTTGAGGTGGTGCAAAAGTTTAGTGCAATTCCGCGTGCGCCGAAGGTCGTGATAAATGTGAATTAGGTGACCGGAGAAGCATTCAATTTCGGTTTTAAAACTTCATGAAGCTCGAGCACTTCTTGTGGCAGGACTGTCCGAGCTGGGCCCTCTAAGAGGAATCAATAAATTCCTCGGTCAATTCCCACTTTACATAGACCGTTTTTAAAGTGTGAAAACAACCGGCACCCACACACTCGGAACCTCCATTATTTTCTACATACAGAACGAAATGGCAGGTTGATATACGGACGTCGTCAATCGAATATTCCATTTATGCGCGATAAGTAACGACCCGAGATATCGATCGTAAAAATCATCCAAGTCACTGGATCGTTCATCAGAATACAAAGTAACTTTCTCGTAGGAACTTCGCAAACTAATTTTTTCATTGCTTATACAATAGCATGGCGAACAACTTTGTTTTCAACGTACAAGAACAACAGGAATATTTGTTCAACTTGAAATCTTGCGTCATTCAGCTTTCTTGTACTAAATACAACATTCAAACTTGTAGCTCAAACAATCAATTTTCGATATAGTAGGCGCATTATATTCTCTACCAAAATACAATTTACACTATCTCCATAGGGAAATCAAAGTGCGCACGTGTCACGTATTGTACGTGCGTTGTGACATAATGGGTCTCGATTGTATATCGACAAAAAAGTATACGCATTCCCATAAATTGCCGTTGCCATAGCAAAGAACAGTATAGGATAAAAGTATAGTACGCTAATATTTATCGGCTCGTAGAAATTCGAAACTCTCTCACCGGTTATCCATTTTCATTCTCAATCTGGCTGACGCGACGGACGTTCCGCGCACACGAGGACCGTAGAGCCATGGCGCCTAATAAATAAAAGGATAAGACGGATTTCCCACGATATCTCGCCTGGAGGTAACAACGTCACCCACATATGTGAACACACTCGAAGACTTAAAGTCCCGTAGAATTCTTCGATAGGTCAACCGTGCGTGCACGCACGGTTTCTTGGCCGAGATCGAGATTGGGGACAGCCTTAGGCCATTTCCATTTATGGTACCCCGTCTTCTTCTTCTTCTCTTAGCTTTGTCCTCTTTCCACCCTCTTTTCTCGTCATCTTCATTTGCTCTTTATCACTTTTTTTCCGGCCTTTCGCTCCTTTTAGCCTCCTCCTACCGTGCGCTTCATCCTTTCAAGTTGCACATATGATTTCACGAACGTCACAACGGGCGATAAGCTGCCCATTGCGTCTCACCTTGGATGAGTTCCTTGATTTTTTTTACTTTGATTTTATTGCAAAACCAGAACTCGCCACGCATTCATTAACGGTCAATCAAATTATTGGCACAAGCGGCAAGTGCAGGCATAATATACTATGTGCAAAGTAACGGGAATATTTTTTATTTATTTTATAAGTCGAGACTTCATCGTGCCTTTTGCACTTGTTAAAAACAGGTGGTTCGTTATGAGTGATTTCTTTGAATTTTTTTTAACGTATAAGCGACTATCAAATTTGTTCGTTGTATGCATTTACTGTAGCTTTAACGATGCTAACGAAAATTAAAAATTGGCCTTGTGTTTTCGTTGGTCTTAAAATTTGTTTTCTCTTGATTACGGACCGTATTAGGTAACAAGCTGTTTATGGTAGACCTTCTCTTTTTTTTGCTACTTTGTTTCGTACAGTATATAAATTAATAGCGAAATGAACGAGGATGATTGGTCGATTTGACGACTCGAACATTAATGGTGATAGGTTTTCATTCATCCGTTTGAAATAAATTAATGATTAAATAAGTGCAGAAGTAGACAGCTCGTCATACATATTTTACGAAATCGCCAGTCTCTTGCGTCAGACTTTCATAAGTTCCATTTATAATGTCTGATTTCGAGATAAGTTTCGTGTCTCTTTTATTTGGAAATATCGTGTTTCTTTTTTTTTACAAATTCAGTACTATGAGATTGAAAAAACAATTTTATACCAAGTAGTATTTGTAATGAAAAATAAAATACAGTATACCACTATACGTAATTCGGTATACTCTATTAAATTTCAAAATCAAAAAAATTCATGCGTTATATATATTTTTGAATTTTCTTTACCGGCAAGGGTTGCTTCAGACCCTAATGAAAACTGTAATTTCATACCACAAGTTTCTTGTACAACCCGGTGGAACTTAACTGGTCGTGTCGACGTGGCCTAATGAGCCGTGGACGGTTAGCGCTAAGGGACAAGGCCCTAATTCGACCAAAACACGAAACTTCTTCTTGGGCTTCCGTTCAGAGGCGTAAACCAACTTTTTCTCATAAAGTCACATATGAAAAAAAAAAGTTCTGAGTAACATGTTGCCAGAGGAAATTCTATACCCAGTATAGCCACGGTTGGAACGAGTAAAATTGACTTTTAACAACTTACTTCATTTTTGTGACCATCCAGAAGACTATTTAGATTGTTTTCACCACGAGTATAATTTTTTTGGATTTGATTTCTGATTTTCTTGAAAAATTTCACAGTAGAATATGTTTCATATTTTTGTACAATTTTCAAGCATTGTTTCTGACAAGAAATTCAGGGATTGTATGCTGTACAAATATGTCCTTTTGCTATTCAATCGGCGCACAGGTTTTTTGTAATCATTGTCGAGTAAGAGGATGCTCGAAATTTCATTCCATTTGTGATAACAGTACGTAACGGTTTTTCACTTAAGGTTTTTAAGGTTAACGGTTTTTCCACTGTGACATATACAGGCGTTGCTTTAGGATTCTACTGGCGATTCCTCATCTCGAAATGCCTGGCATGTGCTAAGGCGACACAGTTTGCTCTACTGTTTCTTATTCCTTTTCATCTTCTCCTCTTTCCTCGTGCCTTTTTCTTTACTCGACGTCGCACGGTTTTTTTCTTCAAGCTTTTCCACGTCTTTTCTCCGTCTAGAACAGAGGTTAATCCCACTCAACGTTGTCCTCGTTAAATTTGTTCTCTGTACAAATACAATTGACAGGAACAATTGTGCTTGAAGTTGTACAGAATTTTGTCAATGTTCATAAAACACAATAAAATATTGTTTGTGCAAAGTATATACTACAGAGAAGTACATTGACGTTGTATTCTTTGTTTCTTGCACGCGTGACCATCGTCGACAAAATGATTCATAGGGTCTAGACTCTACGCTTGGCTAAATACACTTACCTTGTGGTGAGATGAGAAGGGTGATGAGGGGAGGAAGATATAAAATACATTAAGAATATCCGATAAAAATTCTAACCTCGATTAACGCGACCGCACCAACTGATTCCTCGAAGTGGTGACATCTATACGAGGATACTCGAACTATGTTCTTACACTTAGCGTTGTCTACCGATATTCGACTAGGCGCGCTCGGCGCGGACGATAAATATTTTAAAAGTTCATTCTTATCGACAATCCTTAACATTCTATTAATTAGTCTACGTTAATTTTCTCTTATCAGGAAAAATTCCATAGGGGGAAAAGAATTTTCTGGCTGTTCAAACCCTTGACGCTAATTGGATGGGACGGAACATTATGGGTATGGTTTTTGGCTTTGATATTATCCGTTTGAAAAGTTGCCATTACGTTCCGAAGCTGTGTGCCCGTAGCGCCTCTGACGGTAGATAAAGGCAATAAAAATGGAATAAATGGAAATCAAAGCGTAGCTCGAGAAATCTAAACGGTCGTATAAGTTAAAAGAAACTCATCTCCAAACATAGGTAAGGATAACCCGGATAACCGAAGATACGAAATATCCATAAATTGGAAAACAATGGAAAAAAAAAGAAAAGTTGCGTAAAATAAAATTAGACAGCTGTGAATAGGTTTATAAAATAATAATCAAGTGGATCGACTTAGTACGAAAATCTATGTTAATAATTAATGTGAATATCGTATCCAGCTGCAAATTGACTTATCGTGATACATCCGGAAAAAAATGACTCACCCGGTACGAAATTGCCTGATAATCGTGGTATATAAAGTGGATATTAAAATGGCAGCGAGTTTTAGCCACGCGACGCAGCGAGATGAAGAGAGAGAGAAAATAAAATAAAATAAAAATAAATGGAACCAAGAGAGGAGATGCGAAACCGGGATATCTCGGGTCGTTTGTGGGGGAGAAGTTTGGGGGATACGTTATGAGGTGGGTGGGGTCTACAGGACCCCGTAGTACCTCATTAGCATACACTTCGCGTTTATTTATAATTGGAAGCTTATCGGAATTCTTTGAGCGAAGAGCCAACCGCGATGAAGACGTTTATACCTACGTACCTCTACCAACGTCGCCATTAACTATACGTAACGTACTCGTTCAGGTTTTTATCCCGTAAGGAACCATAAAAATTCAAAGTGACGACCACGTCGAGAACAGGATCCAAATACTATTGTAACTGGTCTGTACCAATATTTGGTACAGATACGAATACCAGTAACGCTATTGAGGTGGACGAATAAATTTTCAAGTTTTTTTGACACTTTAATGAAAATTGATTGCACGTGATTTTACGATTTGTACCGTGTGACGAAACGAAGCTTGATTTTCATGGGAATGAACAGCGCCTTGTTTAAATTGTATCCAGTGTACTTGGATTGTTTGAGCTTGCTGGAGCATTTGGGTAAATTATGGATTTAATATATTTGACATTTAAAAATTTTCCAATAGTTTTTTCAAGGGAATCAACGAAAAAAAAATACAAGCGTAGGAACTGAGTGTCGCACTTGAAAGTGAAAAATTGAAATTTTTTTTTTCTATAAGAAAGTTGATTTACATGCAAATTGAAAATGGAGAATTAGGTATTCCATAGTAGAACGTAGTTCTCTTTGGCTGATCACTGATTCACAGTAGGTATTTTTTATTCAAAAACTCAGACTAGTATATAAGCAGTATCTTGCAGCGTTGAAAATTGTATCTTTTTTTTTTCTTTTTTAAACTTTCTTCAAGAATATTTAATAATACTTAGGAAGTAACGTTTGGGCGACACAACTTCTTATGTTGAAACGTGAAAATTGAAGTTTATTTAACGGCTGTTCGTACCAACGCGCAAGTGACCTGTTATCGCGCTGAGACAGGTGATAAGGTGATAACGCGAGTAAACTCTGGAATAATCTTATACTATTTCTCGGAGTTAAAGCCAAGTTTACACGCATTTATCATCCTTCGCGATTAGAAAAATGTCGGTCGTGCCGCCCTCTAATTTTACCTCGAGTTTTTGGTGGGTCTAAGAGATGTATCTTTCGGGGTGGGCCTTAAAAAATTTATGAGGATACTTTTTTTTTTAAATAGCAATAACCATTTGACCCCCTCTCACCTACCGATGACCTACGACCTCGGGCGTTATTTAAAATATTTCCTTTGGTTCTCTTTTCATGATATCAATTCTGTGGCTCGCAAGCAGCATGGACCAGCACAGATCGTAGCAAATTTTTGTTATGAAAAAATTGATAAGCAACGATTAGAATAAAAGTTTGATATATTTGTTATTTTTTAATATCACTCCTGGAAATTCTTATATTCTATTGATATACATAATAATTTTGATATATTGAACTATATGTAAATATATTATTTATATGAAGAATATAATATATTGTTTATTTACTCATATTACCAAGTTAATAATTGACAACAACAAAAGTGTATAGGAACGTATACTTGTTTCAGTCATTGTCATAGTTTTTGACGTTGTTGTACAAAATTCGTTTAAGGTTGATGAAAAGGGTCGTGGGTCTGATTTACATCGGAATAATGTCGCCTGCTCCCCCTAGTCTTCCCTTTCATCGCCGATGTGAGATTCCGTCGCATCCCTCGAAACACACCCGAGGACGCGATACGATCGTCTGCGACTACCTGAATGCACGCGAGTGGGTTATACCAAACCAATGAAAACCAGCCCCGTGAACATAGCACCAGAAGAGAAAGAGCTATTAATCTTCACATAAAATTCACGTTAACGTAGCTACCGTGTATTCATTTTATGGTTTCCATACCTAGTCCTGTTTAGTTTTATTCTTTTAATTCACCAAGTCTTGTTGAATCAATGAAAATAATAGTTCGTTTAATTAAAAGGCCCAAGAACACCCAACAAAATTGTCGTGATATACAAAATTCTCATACGAAACATATAGTTGTGAGAAAACTTTTGTTGTGGTACAACAAGAACAAAATATTTATTTGTTTGGTCAGAACAAACATCCCTTGTCGCGATGCCATAAATCGGACGAAATGCGCTACCCTCGGGCTCGTCGAAGAAATTCCGTGTTAACCGGTTTCCCGGAAGGGTTTGAAAATTTCAACCGGAAGCCCGCGGGAGTCAATTGTATTCAAATCTCGAAAATCTCGGTGAATTCGTGACGTGGCTTCGCTCCACTGGTAAATCTTCTCGTAAGATTTCGTTCGTACGTCTCTCTTGCTCTCTTGCGCTCGCACACCCACGTATCTTAAAACACAACGGGTGGTCAGACACATAGGCTACGATAGACAATGGACCCACATGCATAAAAATAAAAGGATCCAAAGAGCCACGAAAAAAGGAGAAGAAAAAAAGAGAAACAAGAAGAAACGTAAAGAGAAGCGGAGTTGTCGAAGCAAAAAAAGAGGCAGAGACTAAGAAGGAATTCGAGAAAAGTAGATTTCATACAGCAAGTAATTTTTAAAAAAATACGATTATTTGAACAATAATTTATTTATAATGGAAAATTCATTTTATTTATTACACAAATAATTATTATATATTTCACGAATATATATATATATATATATAGGACAATACTTATATTCTATGTAAGAAGGATCATACGTCGTTAATTGCGTCAACGAATGAAATTTCTTTGTAATTTTAATATTTGTCTTTTGATAATAATAACATTTTTTTGTTTCTTACACAGAAGCAACATTACGTCAGCTATCATAAAACATACCAAGTTTTATAATTTGCTAAGACTTAATTGCCCTATTACACATATAGCTACGTATTTTAAACGAAGGAAAAAACAAATGAGAAAAAAAAATTGTCGACTTTCACAAAGCCGAAAAGCGTGTATAACGAATACAAAGATACCGGGAATAACGACAATACAATATATTCGTAGCTTTAGTCTGATTTCGAATTAACTGGAACAGGCTTTGCATTTGGATTCGACAGATCGAGAGTGTAAGAGGTTTCTCTGATAATTTTCTTGTTCTTGTCGTAAACTCTATCAGTGTGATGCAAAATGTTGTTAATAACTTGCTCCTCGGTTTCACGGTAATAAAGTTGACCAGATTTCGTATGACCGGATATAAACGTTCGTTGACGGCCATTGATATTACTGACAGAAACTGACTGTCCGCTGGAAGTCATGGTGCCATCTTTCTGCGCCTTCGCTGTAAGAATAAAAAATGGTAAAATCAAGTAAAAGTTACATAGTAAAAAAAAGTCAAACGTTGATAAATTAAAAAAAAAATTCAATAGAAAATATAAGGATATCACGTGAATGGTAAAAATAAAAATTAGTCATATGTACCATGCAGATGACTGCGCGGTTTACACAGAGAAACGTTATTATTGTTATGATACGAAAGGTGATGACACCGCTACTGCGCACAGATATTCCGTACAATAATGATGAAATATCAAAAGCACATGACTAATGTCACGATTATCACGTAATAATATAAAAAAAAGTTACGTCCTAAATTCAATGATAATCATCACTGTGTCATTGACGCGATAACAAAGCAGAACACGAATTACCTTCACTGGCACTTTTTATACGGCATTGTTATGTCATTGAATTATTTATTTTCAAAAATCATCATTACGGAATCATTAGACGCCTCGCGGTCAGCACGAAGCTTCAATTATCATTGACTCACACGTTACCATGGAAACGGATTATAAGAGTATGTCGATGAATTAACAAAGTAATCGTACGATGACTGCAGGGCAATAACAACGAAGGTCATCAAGGTAAATCGCGATTGGTAAGTGGCAATTGGTAATTGGCATTCAATTGATAACAGAATCTTGGTCAACAGTGAAAGGTAATCGGTTGCACTTTTAAGTTCTACGGTGAACGCTCGTACCGATGCATATATATTTTTCGCACGTTTAACGCGTTGCAAAATAATTTTGTTGTACGAAGATAAAACAAAATTTTGTTTTTGTTCCACGAACAACATTTAACGTAAGGATATAACAAAATGTATTCTGCACGGATAAGTAGAGTGACAAAGTTTTTCTGTTCTCATTCATATATTCAATGAGAATCTAGATATTACGGATACAGCGACCCGATTCTTCGAGAAGGAGAGAATAATATTGTTACTCCATTATTCGATACGTCTGCCACTTGGTGTCTTTACTTTTGTTTTTGCATAAGGCAACGTCTCCTTTCTTTTTTTTTCTTTTCAGATCAAATACAGCTGCTAGAAATTATCTGGGCATCCTGAAACTCACGCGAGCGTCATTTACGGCTGACGTGTACGTTCGGGGTATTTTTATTTGCGGTAACGACACTATTGTTACTTTTACGAAGAAATGCCTGTATTTTCTTAGCTTGTCTTTGTTTGTGAACAATGACGAATTATTTTTTGCCGATGTTGATGTTACTCGAAGATACCTGAAACTTTCAATATTTATCTCTTACCGTGTATTTTCATTTCGTCGTTACTAACGCACGCAATGGAATTATCCATTGGTTATAGCGAATAATTGTAGCGTTGAAAAATATTCAACGTCGTACGATACGTGTACGAAAAGGAGCAAAAAGTAGTACTTGAGTATACAATTGTATTTCAATGCTATTGCACTGGGAATTAGAATTGTACGTTAGTGTACAATGTTGTGAATTGTTGTTGAATATTTTTGTGCAGTCAACATTTTTTGTCATTGTTTCAACAACAGTTAATTATCTGGCTGGACTTGTAATTTTTTCATATATTTTATTGTTTCATCAACTTACCTATCTCATCCAAAATTTCTTTGTTAACGTCGTTTATTTGTTTCTGCACATCTTGTTGAATTTGCTGGTTGAGGTTTGAAATGTCATCGTTAATCTTTGTACCGAATCCGTTTATGTCGTGGAACAATCCGCCGGTCCAGTCGCTGCCGAAATCAAATTGTCCTTGGGAAGAACTGCAACAACGTCAGTGCGGATATTAAAATTATACGAGGGAACTTTGAGGAGTTGATCTGCGGGTCTTTTTAAATGTATAATAAATAGCACTGCAGTGTACGATAAGCACGTTCGCGACTACTCGTGTTCTAAGTGTTTAGGTAAGCGCGTAGTCACAATATCTCGTGCAAAATTTTCACACATGGTGTAACCGAATATGAAATTTTTGTCGAACAGCTGTTTACGTGAAAATATCGAAGAAATGCAAAATAATGTACGGTGAATTTTGAAACGTTGCAAAAAATTATGATGAGATTGTCAAACAAATTTTAAATCACGATTACGTCAAACGGAGCAACATTCGTTATATCAAAGAAAAAAGAGTATTAACACGTAATTAAGAAATTTTCGTTAACTCGTACGTTAACTCGTGTAAAATGCAGCAAGTGAATCAAGCGTGTTTCGTTCGCTTTTATTGTGAAACCAGCTTTAGGTGGTGTGTTGGTGTGAATAATACATGTTAAATAAAATTTTTGTAACAACTTACCCAACAAATACTCCCACGAGGAAAATTTTCCAAATTTGACACATTTTCAAAATTTTATATTGCACCCGGAACGTATCCGATTGCTAACGGGTTGCAAGAGGATTTATACAAATTATTGCTAATCCGTGATTTTATGTAAAAAATTAAAAAAAAACAAATTTTTTATTCTTGAAAGAAACAATACTGGCACGTATAATGAGATATTCTTTTCTAGATGGATAACGCTCGTTATTCTCGCACGTTCTGTTCGCTCGCATTGGAGAACGTGCGCTTTATATACATAAAGCCTGTGTGAGTCGCTATCAACTTCTGCTGTACTGCAGGCGAAGTCTCGTGATCGGTTGTCAAAACATATGTATGTCTGATTCAAGTATTACAGTTCGTGGAAGTGCATAAAGAGTGACTAATATTGCAATACGAATGGAAATGAGGCATCCGAAAAATAGAAACTTTATGTCAATGTATAAAAGGCGAGACGGAATAAGTGGGATTTGGATAAGTGAAAAAAAAAGTTATTTGTCGCATTTACTAAATTACACAACGTAATAAGGAACGATGGATAATTATACAGAGCTGTCCAAATCACCTGTAAACGATACTGATTAACGAGCAGATTGTATCTGTTGAACGTGACTAAAATACTTGTTCGGAACGCACCTGAAGAAGCAAGAAAAAAAGTCAAATATTTCTATTTAATTAAATATACTAGTCCTACAGATGAAAAAAGGCCAAAAAAAGACATTTTCATAAATTTCAATTAAATTTTACAATTCAATTAGCAATAAAGAATTGATACAGGTGCAGCCATACTCTGTCGGTATGAAGTTTCCATTTCTTTTCCTAATTTATTTGTATACGTATGATATACTGTTTCGAAATATATCTTGTTTCAATGATGATAATAAAATACATTTTTTTTTCTCGACATTCTAAAATTTTCGATTTTCAATGTATTTTCTGTGTACCTAACCTATATGAAAAACTGAAAAGAAATAATTATTGCAAATTTTCCGATCAATTTAAAAAAAATGCTGTTCAGGGATCATCCAACAGCATCCAGCAATATTCCCTGTCCTGACGGTGAAGACCTAATAGAAACCGGCAGGTCTTAGAATTGAGGCAGGACCATTCAGATATTAATCTTCATTACTCGAGCATATACAACAGGAACAGACAGTTGGACGAATGGACCAACTGGAAACGATCTCTGTATACGTCTATTCCATAGAGGGTTAGTCGAAGAATTGACGTTGAGAAGCGTCAAAATGGAGAACATTTCAGATAAAGGTCACACTGGGTCACCAACTGGCTATGAAATTCATGATAGGCTCGACGATACATACAATATACACATATATATACAATATATATCTGAAATGGATAGCAGTGATATTGGTTCAAGGCTGTCACGATCGTAAGGACCATTAAAAATATTGTTATCTGTCACACTACGCTACCTAACATACTTAACTGTTTCGATTTTCAATAACCTTCATTCAATATTTTTATTACGTAAGATGCCAGAGTAACATTTTCTTTTTTATTCGAATTCGTGAAGAATGATTTTTTGACAGATTTATATACTGTTGGAGACTCTTAAAAGAGTGGAGATGGGTAATTAAACGGTTTATCAATTATTATAATTTTCGTTTATTGCGAGGGAGTCTCCTTTTAAATAGAAAATTTTTAAGTGGAAACTTTACTGTCTATTCCTCATGTGGTTAATTAGCGTTAGCTGTAGGTACACGACTATCGGGTTTCACTTCTCGTATCTCTCGTAAATGCGGGCTTATAAATTAACTCCCAATAAAGTCTCGATGTAAACGCCAGTTCGTACGAACGATTATTCAAATCTGTATATGCATACGTTAATTTGGCATTAGTCAAAAGTGGCTCGAGAGAATATCAATTTCGGGTCATGACACGAATTTAAATGCAAACTTTACTTTCGGTATTTACTTGAAGAATAAAAGAAAAATTTGTGTGTTATCGCTACAGAAAATATTTATCGTAAACAACACAATCATTATGAGATATCGGTACGATTATATATTTTTCAAATATTATTCTTTTACCGCTATTAAAGTACCTTGAGCTCGACGCTTATTGGCTTAACGAGTCTCATTTAGAAATCGATTGCAGCGCCACAACCCTCGATTGCCCGGGAACGGATGGAGTTATAACCGTAAAATGGTGGAAAGCAACGTAAAAGGTGGTTAGTATCGTTCGGTATTGCCAGACTCGAAGGAGCAGGCATTACGAAGGATGTTGTTGTTGACCCTTAGGCCTGAAACAGGTTTCGGATTCGGATTATACAGCGTAGTGGAGTGGCTCAGTGGGCTATAGGCGGACCACCATTACTATATACCAATACAGCCACCCCCAACCTCGGATATACACGAACTGGATATTACTGACACTGCACTACCACTAAGATGAAAAATGGGACCCTTCACCCCGCTGAGGACGAGAAGGGTTCCCTTTCGACCTTGGTGAGACCCTCTTTTATTTTATTTTTTTTCCCTTACTTATCTCCCTGCTTCTCTGTCTCCTTTATTTTTCTTTGCTTCACTTTTTAATCTTCTTTTTGGTTCACTGCACTTTACTTCGTTGCACTACGAACTATTGCGCCGCCAACTCGGAACGTTGATATTCGCATCGCTATCGACTGAGCTGTAGACACTGCCATCTATATTACTTTTCTTTTCTCTCTTTCTCACAATCTACTTCGCCTACTGGTTTGCTACTCTTGAATTTTCTTCGACAGGTAGCTCCGTGCATTCTCTGAGCGGCGTAAGGGAGTAACCGGATTCAAAATAGAAGAGTTATTGCTGATCGATTCGAGGAACAATAAGAGAGATTTTTGTACCTGCTTGAGAATGTTTCTTTGAGGTGGTTTTCAGTACGTTCAGTTATTTTTACTGTTGCGTGAGACACGTGAAATTCATTTTTGCTCTTGTCGTTCATGAATATCAATGTAATTAATGCTACTTCTTGGACTTATTTTCTCGCCATTATTCGCAGCTTGCGTATTATGTAAAAGGTAAAGTGGGTTTTCGACCTTGAAAATTTGGTATTTGCTGAATGAGTCAGTCGATAATATCTTGTCAATGTGTAGAATAAATGAGTGTGGAATAGTTAGAAGTATGTACGTATGTGTATATATGTATATTAATCCAATGCACTTACTCGGATTGTATGCATTTAATTTCATTTTTTTTGTTTTTCTTTCAAGATGAACTCTTAGAAGAGAAAGCCTTAGGAAACTCTCTTGGAACTCTTGAAGAAAAGAAAGACAAGAGACTCTTGAAGAGAGACGATGGTAAGTGCTTCTTATTTTGATAGTTAAGATTTATTTTCATTTGAACAGTCTCGACATAAGCCGTGGCAATCTACTGAAATTCTTCATGAGGAGACATTCGTATTTTCTGAGAACGTTAAGAAAATATTTCCACAGCATCGATATTAATTAACCATGATATAATCTTTATTGTCGCAGAGACATACCTCGTGTAATCGCGATGTACCAAAAAAATTGTTACGATATTTTCACCATATTTTTATTGTTTGCCAAAGAAATACAATTCAGTTATATATTTTTGGTATAATTATGTATCCGCGTTTTTCGTAGTTCAAGGATCTGTAAAGGAATAAAAAAAAGTATTAACATTCGAAAGATTTTGAAAGATTCTTCGATGAAATCCCGCTCACTAGCGCCAATCTAGTGGCGACGCGTACAAGTTCTACAATTATGGTGGGGGATTGAAGTACTTGGAAGCTGCTTCCATCCAATCGGCAGAGTGTTCAGTATTCGTTCAGCCGCGTGTGGGACAGTTTTGTTGTCCCCGGCTGAGGAGTTCTTCTCCTTCGTGTAAACAAACAACTTTCTTGAGATCGCGATAGACTTTTGATAAACACACAAGGACACAACAGTCTAGAATCGAAGAAATTTCTTGTCAGAATATACGTGAAGAGACTCTCGCGTCGAGTTATCGTACTTTTCGTGCAAAATCACAGAACGATTTCAAAAACAATTGGCAAATGAAGAGACAGTGATTTTTTGTGAAACTGTGGACTGTCAAGAGGACCTCTAAGCATCATGACAGGACCGGAGAGCTTTGACGTCTCTACCAAGACCCAGGATTTTTAATTCTACATAATCGGTGAGTTTAACTGTATTTATTTTATTGAACCTATACTATTCGAAGACAGTAGTGAACATTGTTTTGGTAAGTCCTTGAAATTTTTTTTATCAACTGATAACTGATATTAATAGTCATTTATCAGTTTCTAAACGACATTAAAAATTAGTCTGTCACGTACCATCATTGCCAGTGCCTTAAATGTTACGTCGTGTAGCTTACAACTGTTTTCTATAATTTTTTAATTTGTAATTATAATGTTGGATGTTGTATCCTTCGACTATTTATCAATATAAAAATAATGTCATTTTAAATATTTTTTAAAATGCAATTTCAAAAAAAATTCGTTCCATCCAAATGCTTGATGTCTATTCAAAATCGATTATTCGTTTAATCATTTTTCAATAAAACCAAGTAAACTGAAATTTCCAAAAGATTTAACATTTGATCTTAATTATTATCGCGCATTGCGATAATCGATTATTATCTCGATTAGCAACGAATAACCGACTATCAGTCAGAAACCTAACGGGTCCCAACCCCGACACGTGTGACAGGGGTCAGGCTGACCCGGATCCACTAGCAACAAACCAATCCGCTTAGTACTTACTATAGTTTGTATCACAAGAATTGGCGAAGAGTAATTATAGTAGGAAGAATTAGATTTTAATTAAATCACGCGATGTACATAGTTAATATAGAGTATTGGAACGAATCGCTTGAGAATACGTTTTAACGAAGATTGAACGTAGTACTAAATGAATGCTTAGAAAACGGTGAATTATTTTAAAAATAAATTTGAAAAAATGAATTTGATTACTAAAAAAAAAAATTTATAAATTATACGACAAAAGAGGACCCACTGGGAGTGAGAGATCGTTTTCCGAAAATTTGGTGATTTGTAGAAAACCTTATGGAGACGTCGCACGACTTGGAACCAAGTCTCGAGAACGTCCCTGGCTGACCATAAAAATTTGAATAAAAGTCGCCGGGCGACATGAATTATTTATCGCGGCGACTTGGGTACGAGGCGACTTTTACGATCAGGCTAACATAAGGGCTCCTTTTCATTCTCCCCGTTCTTCTTCATTCTCTCTGTTTCTATCCATTCTACACTTCGTATACTCTACTTGCTACGTACTCTATATACTGTGACCTGAAACAATAGGCTCGACCCTTCAATCTGCGACAACAAAACCGGATTAATTATTGTACTTGCAGCTGTCTTTATTCAACATTAAATTTTTATTTGTTCCTGCCTCTTTTGCGCGAGCTATAATTTGTTGACCATTTTTTGTTCTTAAAATTTGTATACGTGAAATCTTCACGAATTAATTACGTAACAACCTAATATGCTTTAATTGAACTTGGTTCCGAAATTTATGATTATGACTAAGCTTGTCGAAAATTTCTTAAAGGCTGCCTCCGTCGTTTTCAAATATTTCAAAGAAATGAGATTAGCTTGTTTTCTTATCTCCGTAGAATTTTTTTTTCTGTGGCTACGCCATTGCACGGGCAGGACCCTTTTCCAGTCCTTTGGGGTCTACGAGTCTCCAACTCAGTTGAACTTTGAGAATCCGACCAAGAGACCCCCGTGGACCCGCATTGTCGCACTGGACCGTTTCGCTTCGAAATTTCGAAAACACTTCCCACTGCCCATCAGGGGGGCACTTCGAAATATTTCGATATATCTCAGGATCGGTTTGCCCTAAAGTCCGCATAACCTTCTTGCAGCAGCAGTGCAGAATATTTTCGTTTACCATTAGCAAGCGGATATGATATTCATGAGGGGTTTGACAAGGAAAATTTATTGCAAACGTACCACTTCCGGAAGCTGTGCCGGGCATAGATTATACGTGAATTTTGGACTCTATACAAACTTAAGATTTCGTACTCGAAAGTGACAATGATTCGAGTCTTTAAAATTTGACGAGCCTTTCGAACGACTGAAACTGTAATTCGTTTCGGTGTTAAAAATTCTATGGCCTTTCTTTTACCGGTGTGAAATGTTTACGGAGACAAATATAGAACGCGAGGAAGTCGAAGAGATACGAGAAATTTTCAAAACACTATTCCCTACGTGAACCGTGTACGCGGTGTCGATGTAAATTTTTGGCGTAAAAAATATTTTCAAAATTTTTATTTTCCGTGATATAAAGATTACCAGATCATTTTTTTTATTTTCAAAATTTCAAAATTTCAAATTGACCTTTTCTCTCTACGACACGTCTCCTTTACACTTTGAGCACTGCTGATTTTTTTTTCTTCGTTCCTCTGCCCTTCCCTTCCCTTTTCTCTTCCGTTTCTTTTTACGACAGCCCGTAAACCTTACGTTGGGATTTATAGAATCTTTTTTGTCCTCGCTACCAGTTTTGCTCCGTGACGCGTGTGGTCTTCCGACACAGGGGAATCCTTAAGTCGCATAATCTCGAGAAGAATGCGCGAGCTTCCGCATTTTACACGGCGACCCTACCTGTAGAAACAAATTCTCCAGGAGTAGATATCCTAAAGCCTCGTACATACGCCGTCCGTAACGTTGAAGGAATTCCACTCGCCGGAGATACCGGAGATTCATGATCTGCAATAACGGATGGCTTGAAGGACTTTTTTTTTATTAAAAAATTTTTTTTATATACAAATTACATAAACCAGAAATGTTTTATATAATCCAAGGACCTTCGATTATCCGTTATTTATTGTTCGCTGGAAATCCTTACGCACTCCTGTGAACCAGAGTCCTTGGCTTAAGGATGTGACTGACAATGCGAATGTCTTTCCATTCTCGCGTGACGCGTAATCCTTTTCACCGGATTACACGAAAAACGAGTATCGTTGGAAAAAAGATAGAGCAAAGAGAGAGACCAAAGAAAAAGAAAAGAGAATACTCATTTCGGTTAAAAGCATCGGGAGCTCCCGTCGCTTAATGAGAATATTTAGTTGGTAGCTACCTGAAAAAAAGAAAGAAAAAAAAATAACACATTAGTCGCCCCCCTAACGCTAATCTCGAAATTCGAGTCGGTGGCTGCTTCCACGTTTGGCTAATCGGAGAATCTCGATGTTTAGGCGTTCGTTTTCTTTACTTTCTTTTTTTCTTCTTTTTCTTCATTCTTCGGTCACGTTCCTTCGCCTTGCGCATAATCACTCCTAGGCAGAAATCCCTGGGTATAGGAGTAGCTCTGGAAAGGTCGTACCAATAGGAAACACACTACACATTGGGAGAGACACGTGCTTTCACATTCACATCCTTCGAGATGAATGTGTATTTTGTTCTTTTTTTTTTTGTTAAATTGGGAAAATGGATAGAAGATATTTTCTAGGTAAAAAAAAATTTGAATTGGATCCACATCTTGAAAAGGTACACTGGGATAATCTCATCGGAATTTATCTAACAATACCCAGATTTATGTATTCGCAAAATTCTGGTTATAAGCTTTTTTTTTCCAAAAAATTTGCGCATATTTATATATATATATATATATATATATCCGCAATTCGCACCTCTCGTGTAATTCAGTCGAGAGCAAAAAAAAAACAGCAGAGTCGAGAATCGATAGCGTGCTCCCGACCCATGAAAGACGTAACTAGAAAAAAAAAGGGAGAGCACGTGGCTCACATCTGGTGTTTGTGCGAGAAGGGTCGAATCCAGGAAGAAAAAGAAAAAGAAAAAAGAGAGAAGAAAGAAAAGGATAAAAATGAAGAAAAAAACAATGATTCGACCAATAGTGCAAAGTTCGTCCTTGGTACGGTGGGGGATGAACAAGGAACGATATACCTATACGTATACTATACCTCGAGCGAGACTCGGGGCTCTTCGTGGATGTTCGGCGAGACTCGTGTAGTCTCTCGAACGTCAGCTGGGTTGGCCCCTGGAGCCCGAAGGAGAAGCGTGGACCATTGCGCTGCGAAGATGGGAGTGGATGCTGCTTCGGCCGCGAAGAAGCTGGCCGAGCGAGTGGATCTTATTATGTATCCCTCCCCTCCCCGCCCCTCCCCTCCTCACCCTCCCATTCGCAATTCTTCGTGGCACCGGATGGTCAGAGCACAAGGCTCCGTATATGGCTCTGTCCTACTAGCGCTCAGCATACTCTTGCGTTATCTTCATCGTATATACGTACGTAGTCCCCTCGGTACGTTACACGCTCGACTTGTATCTCCGCGTATTACGGGCCGAGTTGCAGGCTAAATAAATGCACGGTACGCAGAGACGTCGTCGATGATGTTGGAGAGGGCGCGCGCGACCGCGTTCTCGTCTACACGACCGCGGTACTTTCTCGCCTCCGGCAAGGCAGCTAGAGCAGCCTGGCTGCTTGACTCCTTGCTGCCTGAATGCCTGATTTCTGCCGGCTGGGACTGCCGTCTTTGCTCCTCCCCTTGTGCAATTGTAAACGTACTTTGTTCTAGGACGAGGTTTGGTGCACGTACAATTGTTGTTGTATGAATTGACAAAAATTTTGTAGTACAAAAATTCGTGTAAAATTTATCGATCAGATTTTTGTTATCTTGTAACTGATGGTGGCAATTGGAAATGACTGGCATTTTTTGTCTATTGGTATTAACGTTAGATTTGGATTTTACGGGAAAAAGTGGAGTCTGGGTGTGGGAATAACAATTTTTTGTTTGGGGAGAATTTTTTTATGAATTTTTAAATTGCTGCCTTAACTGCTTAGTCAGGATTGTACTATCGGACAGAAAACAGTGCCAGGCTCGTATTCCTTTGCTGGAACGATATGTGAATGGGTCCTTTGTTTCTCCATATAGCAATAGGCACAGTTTCTACATGAGTAGGAGTGACCAGGATTTTTGTTCCACTTGTCCTGCTTTTTTTTGTTCCACTCCTATTAAACAAACAAAAGTTTCCGGATACCGTAATGGTTGCTATAATACAGTGAAACACTCGTGTGATATATTTTTTGTATGTCTAAACAGGATCTTGTACGTTCGAAGAATCGAAATCGACTGAAATATTGTTTTTGTTGGGGCGTACAAAATTTTTTAACGATCCTACAATTTCTACGCATGAT